GCATGCATGTGACCTTCTAGATTTCTAGAAATATGTCAGAGTTTTTCAAAGTTCCTCTGGAAGGAACTCCCCAGCGTTTTCATTTAAGGTTTTTGGTTGTCTGTTGTTTGCTCCAGCTGTTATCTAGTGCCTCAGGCACCAGCGAAGTTAAACAATTGCCTGTAATTTATCTCAATTGGGGAAAGGGTTTTTGTACTGGGCAAGCTTCTAGTCAGATCAAGTTAAAAACAGCCTTGCAAGTGGGGTCTTTCAGAGATCCATGAGACAGTCAAATGACAGTTCTCTGGAAATGAACTCCAACTTGGTTCTGCCCCTTTAGGTACTAGCCAGGCTACTGCAATTGAAGTGAAAAGCAAAGTGATTTTCCAGGCTTCTGCAGAGGTGGAGAGTAGGGTATAGGACTGGGGCAAGTAAAAATACCCCAAAGCTCACAGCTTAGTCTTCTTACTGAGATTTTTGCCATTTTTCTTACATAAACCCTGCCTGTATTACTGCAAGTCTTTGGTTAATTTCCAGAGTTCTGTACATGTAGCTTCTGATAATTTTTGCCAATATTATTGTTGATTTTACAAATAAAGAGAATTTTTGGCGGTCCTTACTCTGCCACTTTTGATCTGAATTTGTAGTTTCATTAAAAACTGCCAAATAATTTCCCAGGTTGGCTGTACCATTTTACATTCTCCCCCGGCAATGTGTGATTGTTCCAGTTTCTCCACATCTCACCTGCATTATTTTGTTGTCATTACTTTAAATTTTTGTCATTGAGATAGATGTGTGGTTTTATCTAATTATGGTTTTAATTTGTATTTCTCTAATGGCTTATAACGTTAATTTAACATCTTTTCAAGTACTTGTGATCTTTATCTTTTCTTCAGTGAAATGTCTGTTCATGTCTATTGCTCATTTTCTATTTGGATATTTTTCTTTAGTTGTAAGAGTTTTAAGAATTCTTTACATATTCTAGAAAACAGTCCTTGGTTGTATAGGTTGTTTACAAATATTTTCTCCCTCTGTATAACTTCTATTTTCATGTTCTCTTGTAGAGCAGAAGTTTTACATTTTGATGAGGTCCACTTTGTCAATTTTTGCTTTTATGTATCATGTTTTTAGTGTCAAATTTAAGAACTTTGTCTAGTCCTAGACCCTGAAGATTTTCTCCTGCTTTTTTTCTCTAAAAGTTGTATAGTTTTTTGCTTTACATTCATCTTCATAGTTCTGAAATGTGTATGTTTTGCCTTCTGGAATTAGAGTTCTTGGTTGTCAGTTACTTTTTTTCTTTCAACATTTTCATGGTGTTTATTGTCTTCTGGCTTGCATACTTTCTGAAGAGACATCTGCTGACATTCCTATATTTCTTCATCAGTATGTAATGTGTCTTTTTTCCTTGGGCTACTTTGAAGAATTTCTGATTCTTCTATTGGTTTTCAGGGATTTGATTTTGATGTACTTTGTTGTGGTTTTCTTTTTCTTTATCCTTGACATTCATTGAGCTTCTTGGGTTTGTGTCTTTATAGTTTGCATCAAATTTGGATTTTTTTAAACATATTTCTTTAGATATTTATTTCTGTACCCTTATCTCTGGTCCCTGCTTCTGGGACTCTTACATGTTTGTTAGTTTAATATGGTCCCATAATCACTGACACACTGTTCAGTTCTATTCTTTTCAGTCTTTTTTTTTTTAATGTACTTCAGTTAGGACATATTATATTTCTCTGTCTTCAGGGTTGGTAGTATTTTCTTCTTCAGTATCTAATAAGTTGTTAATCCAACCTAGTGACATTTTCACTTAGTTTGTTGTATATTTGATCTCTAGAAGTTCTATTTGGTTCTTCTTTATATGTTAACATTTCTCTCACAATGTTTATATTTTTCTTTGAATACCCGAATATAGTTGTTATAGTTGTTTTGTTTTAAAGTTCTTATTTGCTAATTCCATCATTTGTGTCATACTGGTTCCGTTTGTATTAACTGTTTTTTATCCTAGTTATTGGTCACATTTTCCTAATTCTTAGCACTTTTTGATTAGATGCTGGGCCTTATGAATACTTTATTGTGTCTACACTTTGTTGTCTTCCTTTTTGTGGTGCTTTGTTCTGGCCTGCAGTTATTTGCAATTTAATTTGATCCTTTCATGGCCTGTCTTTATGCTTGTTAGGACAGGTCTAGAGTAACTTCTACTAAAGGGATAGTTTAGCCCTATTACCCACACAGGACTTTTCTAGAATCTTGTTTAAATGAACCAAGTGATCAACAAGGATCTTGTTTAAATGAACCAAGTGATCAACAAGGATTTGGTACACTTGCTGCTCAGGACTTGAATGCTTTCTAGCTCTGTATGAGCTCTGTGGACTGTTCAGCTGATAGGTTTTCAGTTACTTTTTGACTGGAGTGCATTATAGAATTCAGCTAAGAGTCAAAGGATCCCTTGAAGTTTTTTTTTTCAGTAGTGCCCTTTCCTCCAGAACTGTACCCACAACTTCCAGCTGCCTCAGGTTCCCTGAACTCTGATATGTTTCTTCATAACTCAGTGAGACTTCATTCTTTGTTTGGGATCCCATTTTTGTACCACAGTGCACAATTTGCCTCCAGACATAAATCTGTGGACATTGTGTGGCTCACCTCACTTGTTTCTTCTCTCTCAGGGAACATAGCACTAGTTGCCTCTTGTCAGTATTAGAAAATAATTGTTTCATATATTCCATCTGGTTTTCTTGTTGCTTATAGCAATTAGGTAAATCTGGTCTTTATTATTTCATCATGGCTGGAAGTATAAGTCCTGTTCCTTTAATAAAAAAAAATTTTTTTTTTATTTTGGAGCAGTTTTTATTTACAGAAAAGGTTGTAAAGATAGTAGGTACAGAGTTCCAGTATGCCCAGGTTTCTCCTGTTGTTAACATCTTACAATTTCATTGAACATTTGTCAAGACTAAGAAACTGACATTGCCATATTACTATTAAGTAAATATCTATATTTAATTTTATTAAAAAACTGCCAAACCATTTTCCAAAGTGGCTGTACAGTCATGCATTCCCACCAGCAGTGAATGAGAGTTCCTGCATTATTTGAGTAGAAAAATAACATGATGAAAACCAGTTACGTCAAAACACCAACATTTTAACTACTTTGAAATTACAAAAATTAAGTAGACAGAAGTGACTTAAAATTGCTAAGCCTTTGATTACAAATGACTTATGATAACAATAATAATTATAACAGTGGCATTCATGGAACTCCGTTCTAAGGGCTTTACATTTATTAATTCATTTAATCCTCACAGCATCCCTATGTTGTTGGTGCTGTTATCCTCTACTTCTGTAGATTAAGAAAGTGAAAAGGTCAGTAATTTTCCCCTGGTCACATAGATATTAAGGTACAGGCAGTCTGGCTCCAGAACCTACTCTGATCCACTTTACCAGTGATGATTCTTCATCAGCTGCACATCAGAGCAACTTGAGTTGAGATGGCCTTGGACATCTATATTTTGAAGACCACTGGTGATTCTAATGTGTAGTCAGGATTGAGAACATTCTAAACTACCATTTACTGCTTTTCATTATAATGTAGATAAATTTATTATGTTAAAATATACTTTTTGATTTTAATGATAATAGTACTTTAGTTCATATTTTGACTTGGACATTTTAAGGTCCTTTTTTGTAGGTAGAATTGGAGTTGAGGCAAAAATTGTGTGGATTACTGAAAAATCAGTTATCTATTTTGGTGTCTAGGCACTCTGCCTTTTGTGTAATACATGCAAATGTGTGTGTATACTTATATATATATAGTCTTTCGGCATAAAGAATTTTTAGAGTAATCTGTTAAAGTAGTTAGATATTTCTTCCTAAAAGTAATGTTTAAAGAATATTGATTTTAAAATATGGAAACATTCTAAAAAAAGTAAAATATGGAATCATTCTGTATACACAAAGCAAGGAATAAAATGAATCATAGAATGGTGTAATTGTTTAAATTGTGTTAGGCCCAGCAAGTTAATACCTGCACAGAATTGATTTAATCCAGCATATAAAAATCTTCTTAAATTTATTAATTTTGTATCTTTCTTATTCTGTGTCATTGCCATTTTAACATTTGATATTAGGCTAAAATATATAGAAGAAATATTTTAAATTCTATTTAAGATATACTATATGAAGAGTGATTATGAGGTATAATAAATAAGACAACAGGTTTGAAAATACTTTATCAAAATCTAGTTCTCTGGCCTCAAAATCAACGATCTAAATTTATTTTTTAAATTATTATTATGTGATTTTCATTGGTCACTGTTGTTTTGCTCTGAATAGTTGGCTGCCGACTATTGCATGAAGTCTCCACCAGAGAGTGCTAAAGATACTTCAGTGGGAAATGTTATTTACTTAGACTTGCCTGGACTTGTCAGCCGGGTAGCCTTTTTTTTTTTTCTAAGAAAAGAATTTGATTTCTTATTTACAAAATTCCTCTTGCTGTGAAATATATTACGTACCTTGACAGTTGAATATTTCTACAGATATCATAAATGATGAGTATTTAATTGCTTCATTTTTGGTTCTCCATACTGGCTTGAAATATCTTTGATTATTTTGTGAAGTTATCCTTTAAAAACTAAAAGTTGCATTTTCCTTTACACAATAGGTGTTGACTTTTCTCTACACAATAGATGTTTTTTTGAAAACCTGAATAATTTAAAATGAACTAGAGAAACTAGTAATTTGTTTTATGAGGTTGAAAAAAATACTTTATTGTGTATGTTTTAATTTTAAAATAGCAACTAAATTAGCAAATAGTTTTAATATTTGCAATTCTAGCATACAATATTATTCTCGAAGTATTATTAATTATCCGTGATGACCATATAGTTTGTGTTACACATTTAGAGTAGGGTAAGAAAGAAAATCTGGTCCCTTTATATTTGATAAATCTCTAAGTGAGCATTTTACAGAGTGATTATCTAGCAGAAGTACTGAAGGATAACAGCTGTTTTTCCCTTCTTTTCCTCTAGGTATCTTCACTCAAATAACATAGTTGTGGTTCCGGAAGGTACGTGCACTTCAAGTTTTTAGTTAGGCGGTGCTATAGTTTAAATAGTAGAACAGATAGTATAGTGCTATTATAGTTTATAATAGTAGAACAGATTGTTTCTTTAAACCAATTTTGGTTGGAAAATTAGGGAATTTTAATTATAGAGCATCTTTATTAGTTTCAAAGCTTTTTTTCCTCTAATTAGTAATCCAGTTAACTGTTACAATTAAATTAAATTTAAGAAGCCTAAAATGGTTATAATGGTTAGGTAAAAATGTATTATCAGATAAACTGTCATTGGGTAAATAATAAAATGATAACTTTTAAGTTTAATAAATCCAATTAAGCATTTTGGTTAGATAAAATATCTATATATATATATATATCATTTCATGAATTATTTATTCAAGTAATTTTTACATTGTTTTAACATTTTTATTCGTGCTATTTTTAAACTTACTTTATATCAAGGTAGAAGTGTTATCACTTCATAAAATTTAGTTTGATACTATACTCTAATAAAAATTTTTTAAAATTTTACTTTGATATATGTTTTTACTATTATGTCAGCCCTGGAGACAGGGATATTAAGCATTAAAATATTTAAACTTGGAGTACTTGCATTAAAGTTTGGTGTTAAAACACTTGGGTCAAATTAATCATGCTTTTACCCTTCTTTTCTCTTCGAAGCCATTGGGTCCCTTGTAAAACTACAGTGTTTGGATCTTAGTGACAATGCCTTAGAAATTGTTTGCCCAGAAATTGGTCGTCTGAGAGCTTTACGTCATCTTCGGTTAGCTAATAACCAACTGCAATTCCTACCTCCAGGTAATCATAGTCTGTAGCACACGAGCTTTTTGTATATTACAAGTCTATTTTTATTAATATTTCTTACTTTGTGTCTAGGCAGTGGGCTTTAGATATACTTGTAAGTATTTGATTGTCTACTTGTTTGAAGATGACACTAAGGAATGTGGATGAAATATGACTCAGAGTCTTTTCCTTGATGCAAGTATGAGAAGGTGGCATTTATGTTTTTCAGCTACAATTACTACAGTTGTGCATTGGAATCAATGCTCCTTCAAATCACTGTCCTGGTGAAATATTTGTACCAAAAGCTCCTTCAGTTCTGAATTTCACATAGGAGAATTTATATGAACTTTGCATTTTAGTGTCCCAAAAGCAGATACATACAGTGTTTTCTCTCATTCTCTAGTGAGGTAAATGATGTACATTAACTTGGATTTAATGTGAAATCATACTAGAATTTAGTAGCAGAATTTAAGTTTGAGTCCTAGAATTGTCAGTTCTGCCTTCTGATCATCCTATTAGATTATGATGTACCTATTGATAGTACCAAAATCCTGCATTCTTCTGAGCTACCATTAAACCCTTTGACTTTCTTACAAGGTGTATTCAGAGACCTTCCTTTGTGAACCCACACATTTGCAGATTCCTCTGTCCTGTGTCATTTCGCATATTTTTTAAAAAGTGAAGTATGATTTAATAAAAAACTTGTGCTTCAGGTATTACATAAGAGTTACTCTGCATTCAAAAATGAGCAAAAAAAATACAGATGTCACTCACATTGGCTGGGATTATTTCTTCCTAGTAACTCAGGAATACCAGCTAGTCTTTTAGTGTATCCGACTGAAATGTGTGACTCAACCAAAATTACAAATTACTGCCTGTCACAGAACTTCAGGGACATGTGAAACTGTTAAAAACTATTCATGTTAAATCCATGAATGAATTTATAATTTAAAAAATACTTTCTCCAAAGTTTTTCAAGTACAGAAATTTCTAACTGAAACACAGTAGCTGATTAATTTTTAGACTTTATGTGCTGACTTTCATATATAGGTTCAATATTGTATACAAAAATGATAATTAGTATAGCAGTTGACTCTGCTTAAAAAAATATTTTTTAACCTCATATAATGAGAGTCTTCCTTTTTCCAACTCTACTTAATACAAAAATTTTCAGTATGGTGTGGGAATATGATCTTTGAATTTTATTGTATGTAATCAGACTCAGTGGTGTTTCATCATTCTAGCTTTCATCAAGTTTATGTATTCACATACTCAGGAAATTAGATTCTCTTTCAGAGATTGTCTAGAAAATATATCAGCAAAGATAACACTTTAGATTTTCAGGGTATTTTCATATATGAAACTTACACAAGATACATTATAGAGTCAAAATGCATGGATATAATACCGAATATTTTAGATTTTCGTAGTATTTTCATATATGAAGTTTATACAAGATATGTTATAGAATCAAAATGCATAGGTATAGTACTGTATTCATAAGCCCCTTTTTCGATACATTTAAAGAACGTCTGAGTAACACAACTCTCTGTTAAAACATTGTTCTTTGTTTTCTATTTTCCTGTCTTTTCCTGTAATGTAAGAACATTTTGTGGTAAAATGTGGCCATTTCCTTCCATTATATACTCTCAGAGGTTAAGGATATATTACTAATGTCATTGACTGCCTCCTAGTAACCAGTGGAGGGTATAGGTTTCCTGACTACTTTAATATGATTTTAAATTTATATCTCACCTGTTTCATAATAGATTTGAGGCATTTACTTCTGATTTTATTTCCCTAGCTTATTTTTGTTGTTTGTGTTTGGTTTTGCTTGTTTTGAGTAAAATTGCATACAGTAATAGCTGTGTATTTTGAGTAGAAACTTTTGATTAAACTATGTATAGACTTTTTTTTTCTAGGCCATCATAAGTAGCAATGCACTAGATCTTACTAATTTTTTTAATAACTTTATGTATCTCTTTATGAGGTAATTTCAAGTGTTATGATTTGAATGGGAGAGGGGCTAGGTACACATCCCCCAAGTGTTTGACCGTCTTTGGGGACATACTATGGAAAAGTTATTTTAACTGCAGTAAAAAATGTGAGGGACTGCCATATAGTGTCCATTTGATGACAGTAGACTCCAGTTGATGTCTGATTGTTAGCCTCTTCTACCTAGTCCATGTTATTAGTATAGACTTCTTATGTGTTATATTCCTGTGAAAGACTTAATATTTTATTATGTGTATTTTTTTGTGGTTGAAAAACCGTTGAATGTAATTTCACATTCAGTATTTAAAATTTGAAAATTTAAGAGCAGTATTTGAAAAATTTTTAAGCATTTAAAATATCTAAATGGATAATAGAGAGTTTTAAAATTAGGATCTAAGAATGGATTACAGGGGCTTCATGAATGCCCTCAAATTGTATGGACAGTTTGGTGTTTGTGAGTGTGTACATATTGCTGTGAAGAAGATCCAATGTTTTTATCAGTTTCTCAAACAGATCCATGACTCATATAGTTGATTCTCTTGGGTTGTTTGCCAATACCCATTCTTGGTATTGGGGAATGTCCCTTTTCCCCATTCTATTGGATTGCAGAGTACTGCCGTTTTTCTACCTTGTGACATTGCTTTCTCTCCACAGTTGATTGGTCCTGGTGTAGGTACCTGACCCAAGCAGGACCATTTCTCTCCCTGGGCATTTTGAAAAGGACAGTGTGGGAGAAGGAAAGAGAACAAGAGAGAACAGCGGAGGCTGAGAAAGAAAATCAGGCTCTATTTCTCTCTGGGTTTCTATACAATACTGTATAATCTTGTGAGGTCTGGGAGTAGCCATGTGGACTGGGAAACAAGGAGAGAAAGATGAAGTAAATAACTAGAAAAAAGATGGAGGCAGAGACTTCCTAAGTTTTCTTTAATTTCCCAATCACTGATTCTGTTCTTAAGGCCCATAGACTTTGTGCTTAAGCTAACTCTAGTTGGCTTCTGTGAATTGTCAACAAAAGAGCTCCATGTAACATAGCTGCCCCAAAGGCTTAAAACAGCCTGTCTTGGGGTATAGGATTAATTGTATATTGAACTCTCCTATTTACATAACTGTTATGCTTTGAAATTGCAAAAGCTCTTATTAATAGTAGGAAGTCCAGGGTTAGCAACAGCACGATCAGTAGTATGTCTGTGAAGTGGTTCATTCTGTCATCTGTTTTTTCCTTTTTGTAGTATGCTTTGTACCCTTTCTATTATATATATATATATATATATATATATATATATTTTTTTTTTTTTTTAACCTGAACTCAAGTAATTTTGGAGGAAGTACAGAGAACATTGGCATGGGGTGATGATGGGTATAGAAATGTGAAGACAGGCTATAAAGAGTATGTTGTTAAGTCAGTATAGGGAAAGTGTATTGTCCTCTTTGGCCCCATAGCTGGGCCTAAAAAACTGACATTACGACATAACAGGAGAAAAGTATACAGATTTTATTTAGTAATTTTTACATGTACACAGGAGCCTTCATAAGAAAAATGAAGACCCAAAGAAGTGTAGTTAGAACCAAACACATATATACTAGGTTGGACAATGAGTAGTAAATTGTGAAAATGGACAAGACAAAGGAGTTTGTGCAAGGGCAGTTATTTGTAGAAAAGTGACTAGGAAGATAAGGTTTGGTTTAACAAGGTTTGTTTGTCATTTGGCCTCACCTCCCTGTCTCTGGTCATAAGAATGTCTTCCTTCCTCCTGGTATGGGGGTTAACACCTTTTGCATGGGAATTTTATCTCCTGCTTTCAGGAAGAAGAAGGAAGCTTAGAGTGCCCTTCTTGCATCTGCTGTCTTTCAGTGCCTTTAACTTAAAATAATCAGTACACCAGGATGGCATATTTTGGGGTGGCATACTCTGAACTCCTACTCCAGCCACCACAGTGGGCAACTAGAGCTTAATTCTGTGTGAAACATATCCCTCAGAATCATCACACTAAAGTGCTGAAAGAGCTACAGTACTTCAACATCAACTTCCAAAAATTATGGTTGAGAGCTGATTGGGTGGGAGGGTGGGTGTTAATTCTCTGTTACTTCTGGCATGCTGCACATGTACACACATGGACAGAGCAGCAGCCTTCTGCAGTTTCAGAAAAGTCCTCAGTCACAGTGATATGGATACTGGTAGTGGAGCAATGGCCAGAAAACACTGAAGTGGTCCACCTAGGTGATATGTGTGGAGCTCTGACAAGCTCTCACAGACATCATGAACCATGGATGAAGAGAGGTGCTTGGTACATCTGCTTTCAAAATCTTCCAGACGTGGTCCATAGACCCCAACCTGAAAGATAAGACTAATTTAACTTGGTTCCAAATTACCTCCCCCCCCAAAAAATCTTCTGGCTAATGTTATTGAAATCATAGTCTGTGGTGTAAGAACTTTGGAACCTGAAGCACTATTTTTCTGAGCAGATCCAGTCCCTCCTCCCTTTTTTTCAATAACTTTATATATTATTTGGCAATGAGTATTGTGGGTTTATATTTTAAATACCATATGGAAAAGGTTAAATGATATTTTGGCTTTTTTTTTTACTGTGATACTTAAAAATTTTTAATTTTTGTTTATTTTTCACAAGTAAAAATTGTACATATTTAAAGTATACAGTGTGATGTTTTGACATATGTATATATTGTGAAATGATTACTACAATTGAACTAATTAACATATTTGTTACCTCCCAAAGTTACCTTTTGTGTGAGTGTGTGGTGAGAACATTTAAGATCTAGTCTCTTAGCAAACTTCAAATACACAACACACTATTATTCAGTTGCCTTTTAAAAAACTTTTTATTGTGGTAAATTTTAAGCACAATCAAAAGTAGACAGAATAGAATAGTAAGCCCCCATATACCCAATACCTAACTTTAACAGTTACCATGGCTTTCTCCTCTGTTGTATTATTTTTCTTTTAACTTTTGTTCTTCATATTTTTGTCCTCTCAAGGTTTTTTTTAATTGGGGTAAAATTTA